CTTCCCCTTGACCTACATTCACACATCGTACTACTTACGGCCCACCTGTTTGAACGCCTGAATGAAGCATTATATAAACCGTATAGTACATCGACAACGACACCCTGACCGACTACAACGAACGTCACACGACCGTTCCGACTAGTGCTTCGACAACCGTCACGAAAAGCGCTACGCCCACGACGACAAGGCAATCGTCACACGACCGGACAGGCCGCGACTTACAATTTCCCCACGAACAGGATTTGTGCTCTGAGATAAGTCACCACTTTCTCATTACCTTATTTTTGAGTGACACTATTAAATTCTATTTCGTACATTGTATTCTTAGGGCCGGCCTCTCCTTTTTATATCTTTACTGTACTGATACATAACGAACACGCCTCAATACTTATACTTCATTTTTGTTAGTGCACACCTTCTGATATTTTCAATCCGCCAACTAGTCGTAGTAACCTACTAAGCCACTAACAACATACACACCAACCGCAGGCACACCGGGTATGTCAAATAGCCAATCACTTGAAACGACGATATCAAATAAAATAAGTCGGATAATGCGTACGACTGTGCCCACATATCTTTTCAATCAATCGGTGTATGAAATAAATTGGTTGCCCAAAAATCCGCTATAGGTTCAAGACGTCCGAAAATATATTTTAAGAATATGTCACAAACGGGAAATTGTTATCAAGTTAACTATAATTAGCTTAAGGGAAGTATGCAAGTTAACAGAAAATAGTTCAGCTAGTCATAAAGGAGACAATGTAGCAAACCCACCACCTGAAACAATGAAACTCAGCACGTAAGCAAGCGGTTAAGTAATCGAATGCAGCGTACCTACAAACGCTGCGCCGGTGGTCGCCCCGAGTGGCCTCGCTCATGGCTCACTTGTCCTGCCTGACTCAGGTACTCGCGACTACATGTGCTACTGCACCATCGGCGCTTGCCGCTTTCGCACTTACCGCTTATTCTCTGCATGCATGAAGTCTTTCTCCCGCACTTCGGCAACTGCCTTCGTGATCAGATCGCGAAATGCACGCCAATCAACCGCATTCGATTCCCATGACCTGCACTCAAGATCAGAACTGAGAGGCTCATCTGGATCTTGTCCTGGTAACTGAATCCTACATCGTGTTTCGGCAATTCGAAAGGTCCTGGAGGATTGCGCACTCTGTAAGATATGGAAGGCCCGGCCCTGCGAACAGGTGACCCCTTTTCATCGATGACCGTTGCATAGCATATCAAACAGCCTTTACCGCAGTCGGCGTCGACTATTTCGTTGTTAAAGGAAACACGAATATCGGGGAAGCGGTACCGCTGTATCTTCACTTGTCTCTCAGTTAGAGCCGTACATATTGAAATAACACACGATGTGGACACAGACTCCTTCTTTTGCGCTTTTTCGGGTTTTGTATCGCGACGTGGAATACCAATGAGAGTGTATAGCGATAAGGGACCGAATTTCCGGGGAGCTGAAGGTGAAGAAAAGCTATTAGTCGGTCCTGGAACCAAGATCAGCTGCACCAGACTTTGAATGACAGGAATTGCGACTGGATTTTCAATCCTCTTTTTGCGAGTCACCGTGGCGGTACTTGGGAACGCCTGATCCGATCTTCACGAATGATACAGAGTGATACTTAGTAAACAACTTGTAAACGACTAAATTCTTCAGACAGCGGTGGTTGAGTTGGAAAGAATACTTAACCACAGACTCTTGATACCCGTTCCCGGCCAACATGACGAATTCGGCACTATATCACCCAGTCTGTTGTTGACTTGAACATCTAACAGAGTCCTGGACCACGAGCAGACACCGCTTCCCAACCGACTGACAAGACGTTGGCGTCAGGTGCAGCAGCTGTCCATCGAATTTTGGAAAAGATGGTTATTGTGTTATTTACCGCCCCTACAGGCTCGCCAAAAGTGTCATGCGGACAGGCGCCGCTTAAAGACAAGTGGTTTAGTTCTAGTTTCCGATGTACGCACTCCAACAGGTCTGTGACCGAAGGGCATAATCGATGAGGCGGCGGACTGGTTCGAAAACTCCTGGTACGTACGAACAAGGGAACGTTTCGCAGAGACGTCCGGCAAGTGTGCTTACTGGAGGAGACTTTAAATTAGCTGGATGATCAGGAACGAAATGACACGTAAATCGTCGGGGGAATTTGAATTCTAATTCACCGACTGACCCTGCGCAATCCTGATTCATTGGTGTAACTTTGCTACTATCTATTTATCAGTAAGTACATATTTTCACATTTGTCACCACGATGATTGAACAGATTACTAACGATCACCTCAGAATCTGAATTAACCGTACTGCCTATTTTACATTTTCCTCCTAGTCTTTATTATATGACTTTTCATTATTTACTGACAAGGATGCGCAAAGCTCAGACATCCGAACACTTTGTTTGAATGCACCACTTATTACGTCTTAGAATAAGCGCGGACTGCCCGAACTGACCACGTGGAATTATTTCTGTACCTAATTACGAGTTTGTTCACCTATTCGTAAGTTATGCATTTCTATTTCCTTCATTATCATTTATGTAGAACCACGGTTGCTTCGGTATAATTTATTCTGCTCTGACTTTCATTCTCATAGGTTGGGTAAGTGTGAGCACAGCCGAACGTACACAGTGGCTGGTCAGTCGTTGCATTCCGCGCCTTTCGTGCGCGACCTCAGTGTGCTCTCACGCCGCGACCCCAAAGTCCATTGACAACACGAATAGGCTGTACCAAAACAGCCTTCGGATGCTTTGGGCCCTCAGGCGCAGCTTCAGCACTTGGTCCGAAGAGATTGCTGCTCGCCTCTTCGTCTCGATAATACGACCAATGCTAGAGTACGGCTCTCCAGCGTATTGTCCCAACACCCTGGGCGAGGTAGAAAAGCTTGAGCGGGTGCAGCATGTAGCCACCAGGCTGATTCCAAACTTAAGAGGTATACCATACGAAGACCGATGTAAGAAACTAGGGCTGTACACCCTAGCTTATTGTCGGCTGAGAGTTGACCTCATCATGACGCACCGGATATTACATCTGAGTGATTACCCCATGTTGAGACAACTGCTTCATCTGCGCACATCAAGCTGCACGCGAGGACACCGGTATAAACTTATCGTACCGAAGTTGAAGCGGGTCGCTCACCAACTCTCTTTCGAACGCAGAGTGGTGAATGTCTGGAACGACCTGCCGCAGCACATAGTAGAGGCGAACTCAGTGTCCGAATTTAAGAAGCTCCTAGACAAACACTGCAGAGGCAAAATATAGAGAGCGGAACGATAAATAAGGAGTATATGTCCAAGAGCGACGAATGATGCAGCTACATAGAGAAAGCTCTACTCGCTTCTTCGAACCAGTATTCAGTATTCACAGCCCAGACCATGCGTTTAAATAGGTATCGTCAGCTCGCCTTTAACCAGGCATTTCTGCAGTAACACTCACCAAACGCTGCGCTGTTAATGGTTACCTATTCAGCTGACTTATCTCTGATTTTGGCCCCGTGTGGCCGCGCGAAGAGTGAACCAAACATCAAAGGCTGCAATTGAATAGCAATTGCAGAGAGCAGTGAAGTCAAACTCGCTAACCCGTTAACCGTTACACATTTTATGCAGATGGTTTCGATCGCATTACTCCGAAGGATGTAACCCTGAGTAATCCGTCCTCACCAATCTCCTTTTGAACTATCTTTTGCATCTTCCTTTCCTCCACCTCACATCAATATTGCTCAGATTACCTTCGTACCCAAGATGTATCATCGCCACTCCCCCAACGCTTTCGTCTCAACTTTTTGTGACCTCTATCTTCAACCACGTACTTCACCACTTTTCTTCGACAAATGGGTTCCATCTTTTCCTGTGCACTGTCTTCAGCTTGGATTTCTTCATACGGATGTCTTGAATCGACAAGTGTTCTGCAGGCCGTGCTTCATTCTTTTCATGTGAATCCTACCCATTTGTCCTTCGCTTCACTGGGAATCTCTAATGCTTTTGACTCCGTTTCACACAGTTCTTTACTCCGAGCCGCCTGTTTTTTGACTTTGTGTCGTCTCTATCGATTTATCTTCCTAGTATGCTTCCGCTGTTTCCACATTAGACTGGATCGGGATTAATCCACGGAGGGATATTTGTCAAACTCGTTTCACAATTGTCATTCATCGTGACTTTGGACGAGGCCCTTCATAAGCCTGCATTATCTTAGTGCTATTGCCTGGCTGGCCCGATAGACATCGTGGTTTACGTTGACTTGGTGGAGGGTAACTAAGACGCTGATGACAAAACTGGATGCAGTTTATTCATCTCGCCTTCCAGGCTTAAGTCCACGTGACCAGCGTTGTGCTTACTGTCCGTTACAATATTCGGTTCGCAATGGATAAAATAACTAAAATTCAACAGGTCCTGTGGAATGGTCATGGTGAGTATTGCAGAATAAGGAAAATGTGTCAGTAAAAGTAAGTTCGCACCGGTTGGGGTCATTGGTGCATCTGTTTAAATTGTCTCATGCTGAGTATGATGCGGGCAGTCATAGTCGCAAGGAGGCTGTCTTTGCACGATATCGAGTTCTTTTTGGATGCATGTTGTTGACAAGTTATAGGCGTCTTGGTCCTAGATATTCGCTTTTGGCATTTATGTTTTACTCTGTGCCCCCTTATTTCCCGATGGGAAATCATATTTTCGAAGTTTAGAAAAGGCGATCGCTTTTGGATCATTAACCTGCGCTACAGTTCGTTTCGCGCGCTTTCCAGATTAGCTCTTTAGCGAATGTTTATCATATACAAATGATATCAGCAACGTCGACTGTTGTTGTTTCCACGGATATCACATTGTTCTTCAGATGCGTTTGATAATGAACCATCCTGGTCCTCAGATTTGTGGTTGTATGTCACCTGTCCTCTATTTTCTCTCATCAGTGCTCACAGTGCCATCGAATTTGTTTGATACTTTAACCTTGTGATATGTTCACTCCGTGATCTTACATACCATTTGATATACTAGAAAACTATCACAGACTGTGTGACATATTGAGACGACTAAAGCTTCCTGGCTTGGACGAGTATCTGCACGAGGCAAAGAATCGGTACTCTCACGCACTGGAAGAGTACACCAAGAATTCCATGGGTAGACCTTTGGAGAAGCTTGCGGTGAGTTTTCAGCTTGCAATAATCTTATTTTTCTTTCCTTTGTTTTACATGGGTACCTCTTTTTCTCTTGTCTTAATTTGCTATCGAAACTTTTTGTGACTACAAGGCTTGGCTCTAGGATAAACAGCAGTTTGCCGGGATTGGTAGTTTATGCTTCACTCCGATTCGCACTTTTTGCATAGCTTGTGCACGAGGTAAAGCTATTTTGATTTCTCACACGGCTCACTTTTTACGCAAATCTTTGTCTAAACTCTATTCTTCTAACTATACTCTGCAGTTGTTTATGAGATAACTGTTACTCACTTTTTGTTGTTTCCCTTCCAGGGACGTTTATATTATTCTTCTGTCCCCACACAACGCGTTCTTTGCTTCCCCACTTGATCTGGTGATACTGCCTGCGACGTAACTCCACGAGGTTGAACTTCCCTTCTTTCAGCCACTAGAACTACCTAAGCCCCATTTGGGATTAATTGCGTATTACATTGATGAGACGCGCGTCAAAAAGTGTCGTTGAGACAAGCCAACAATTATTGGCTTAAGATTACCACGCCTAGCCTAGGTCATTGTCGTTCCTTCTGCTCTTTGCATTCCCATTTCGTTCTACTTCAGGCATCCATATATTCACCTCCAGCCTGATCATCAGGCTCTGTCCTCCATCGGAGCTACGACGATGGCGTTTACGCCGTCAGCTCACCACGAAGTGTAAGTCAGTCACAGCATCCTGCTCCGTCCCTCACTACCTAGTCAATTTTTAGAATGCGTTACCTCAGCATGCGGTATTATCTCCGAGTGTGCTAGCTTGGACACCGACTCGATTTCCCCTTGGTGTCCTAACCTATTTCTTTGACTTCTAATTCCCTATAATGGATTACCTATCTCCGTGATGCACTACAGTATAGGTATTTGCTTGATTTTCTTGCTTCTGGTAGTAAGAATATATGATGGTAGAAGTTCCTTCTATCATTCATACTTCACCTGGCCGGTAGAGCGGGGACTGCTAGTTTGCAACATGATAATTGGTTGATTGACTGCTATTTTGAGCGAACATTTGGCCCTCAATGTCTTCAAATTGACGAACTCTATCTCCATTCCAACAATCCTTCAGAAAATGCATCCATGGGCATTCCCTGCTGTTGCACTCCTCCACTGACATTCCCCCCACAGTTCGCTACGAGTCCGAAATGAGTCCCAATTGAGCATGATTCGGACTGTCAAATGACCGTGGGAAAGGTTTTGCAGCACACCCGCTATTCCTTCCCAGGTGGGGCTAAAATGATTGAAAATATAGGGCAATTCGCATTGCCCTATCTTTTCTTATTATCGTAGCCCCACCTCCTGCCTTTGTTTTAGCAAGTGAAAGCAACTAGCGCACGCAACTTCGTGGAAACACAGACATGTGTGCCGAAAATTTATTACTACGGCAAATTTACATATTCGTCTCAGGAACGAGTCGTTTCCCCCGGTAGGAGGTCCACACCATCACACTCAGCTGTATGTTGAATCCAACCTTTGATAGTGAAATAAACCGCTCATAACTTCTTCAGAGTAATCCGCTGACAATCCGCCTCGAACTGTCAGTGAAATCCTGATAATCCGACAGCGAATTGGTAGGGAAACGATTTCATGACATGTAGTGCAAATTATCGCACTCAGTAATTCCTCATTGAAAAATACACGCCATCTTCTGTAAGAAATATAAGTATTCCGTTAAAACGGTTACAAATTCTCTAGATTCCGCTGACTGTGCTGACAGGGCTATTCGAACTTGGACTTATGGCAGCTATTTCCCTAGAATGTTCACGCCAGCAACTCACCTCAAGCTGAGTCTCACATGAGCAGCTGCGACAGCGTCGTCTGGCTCGCCACAAGGTGTCAGTCAGGCGCATCTTCCATCCGGATCCGCTAATTTCTAGGCGACTTGGATATACTGGGTCTAATTAGTTCCGCATTGGAGATCATTTGAATAGATCTGAGTCACTCAGGTTTGCGCGACATGTATTTCGTAAGGGATGTACGTGTGTAACGAACTTAGTGGCAGCTCGGAAAATGTGGCATGCGACTGCTGACGTTTGTCACTCTGTGGACATATTTTTTTACTTTTGCTAAGGTGCTCGACATTGTCCTCCTAACTGGTGGTACTGTTGCCAACCTGTTGGTGCAACGTGTCAAATTCTTGGCTCCTGATTTTTCGAGGTTTCTGTCTCAAAACAACAAACTGCTATAGCATCCAAATGAATAGATTGTTGCAAACGCGTCACTTCCCGCTCCAAAGCTGTTCAGTGCGCCCTGTACGAAGGATGGCTCCACCCAACTTGCTATAACATCGATGACGCCTTATACGAATTCCTACAACGTACTGCCTGTAATATTCGTCCCGTTCGGGGTGATAAGTTCTTCCGTATTCGTCCTCAGACGTAAAACGCAGTAGACCGGAAGACCAGCAATGGAAAGCAAAGAGAGAGCGTAGGCGGCTGTATAACCATTTAGTAAGCACGAATCTCAACAAACAACGTATCGAGAGTCTGCTGGCAAGTAGACACCGGAAAGTTGTGGAATAGCTACGAGCAACCGAGCACAAGAGCACGATGGCAGGAAGGACGCCGAGGCTACGGGGGGAGGTTCAACCAAAATGGCGCACGACGTAACCCTGCATCTCAGGTCATAACCTCTCATTGTCACTCGTGTCGAGCATTAGTAAATGAAAAACGTCTTCTGGCTAACCCTCATCTTCTCAATATATGTAGCGCTGCCGCCCTGGCCGTGTCCAATATCGCAGATAAGCCACACACCTCATCAGTATCCCTACTAGCGTCTAGATCTGTTACACGCAGTCCAAAGCGATGCCGCACTCCTCCACCATATCGGCAGAATCACTACCTCCCAGTGAGAGGAAGTGTAGACCTGAAAGCAAGCCCAAGACTTATGCTGTCGTGGCGAGCGCCACTGCTGCAATAACATCCAGCCTGAGCCCAGTTGCAAACAAACCCCTACGGAAGCTCGCCTCGAAACCTAAGATGCAGCGTAACCGCAGACTCGGAGATAAAATTTGTAGTCGACAGAGTAACGCAACTGGAACAGCTCAATAAACAGACTTGCACGCAAAGTTCATTGTCTCCGGGTAGAAACAGCACTCCGCTCTGCAACCGCTGCCTGATCATCACAAACGTTCCTGAATCCAACGAAGACACCTCTGCTAAGTGGATACTCGATGATTAAGCCTTCTTCAAGAGATTGGTTTCAAAATTGTTCGGTGAGAGCGAGCAGGGGATTAACATTATCACTGCTTCTCGCCTTGGTAAAAAAACAGAAGATCCGTCTAAGTTGCGCCCACTTAAAATCGTTTGTCAGGACGAGGAAGAATACCGGCACATTCTGAGATATGCTTCACGCCTCAAAGGAGAAACCTTATATGTTCTGAAAGACCTGTCACTAGAGGACCGAGTCAAAATGAGACAAGCTGTTACTGAGCTCCGCACTCGGCGAGTGAATGGCGAAACCGACCCCCACATTGTGGATTTTCACATACTGCAGAAAACTCCGGGAGCTCCATGGGGGCCAATCTTTCTACTCCCCGGACCCCAAGCCTAAATTATGGATCACATGTGATACTTGCGAACGTGCGCGGTCTCAGAAACAAGCTAGCTGATACAACTCCTTATTTCAGAGCAGCGACTGGATCTAATGGCGTTCACAGGCCTGGCTGTCATCAGAGATGTCGGACTCAGAGGCTCAACTTCCACTTTATCAGCTCTTTCGGTCTTACCGCTCCTGTCGGAGATCTGGAGATGGAGCAATCCACTATTCCAAATCCTACCTCAAAGTCAACGTTCTTAAAACGGACTGCGACAACAATGATACGTCAGAAGTACTCTGGTGTCGAATTCACGATGGCTTCCACTCACTGAGGGTCGGAGTAGTTTACAGACCCCATCATCATCTGGCTCTTATCTCCTGCACTCAGTGAGAAATAAGGCGAAGGGCACGAACTGCTTATGTGGGATGTCAGTGCCACCAGCATCAACTGGGCCTCTTCACAGCGACCTCCCTACGGAGTCCTTTGATGCTTGTCTACTATACGCCGTCCTCGAATGTAACCTCACGCAGCACATCCTAGCACAAAAATGGATACTCCCAGGCCAAACACCTCACATTCTGGACCTGCTGCTCACTCCGGCCCCATCTCACTTCTCCGACCTAACGATCCTCCATCCGCTGGGCAAGAGTGACCACTATGTCATCACCTTCCAGTGGACACGACGCCTTAAAATTCATGGCCAGGGGTCACATGGTCGCAACTTCTGGCGAGCCGCGCAGCCCAGACTTAAAGCAGCGGCACCCGCCCTGAATTGGAATTTTCCGCAGTCTTTGGATCTTGACGGTTCATGGCAGCTACTACGATCCAAGATGCTGCTGCTTTTCGAACAACACGTTCCAAACTGCAAAGTAAGATCTTTACTGAAAAGACGACGGAAACTGTGGGATCATTACAAGATCACACAACTAGCATCGAGCTACTCAGAGTACAAGACTGTAAGGAACCTTTGCACCTTAAAAATACGCAACGAGCTACTCCAATACGAACACACCTAGCCACAAAATCTCCAACTTATCCCAAGAAACTCTTCTCATACCTAAACGTAATGTCAGGACGGGTAGTGTGACCCCCACGCTATTCTCCGAGGCACTGTACTTCACGATGACGAGGAAAAACCAACATATTAACCTCGCAGTACTCTTCGCTCTACTCAGTGGAGCCCCCTCTGCACATAAACTCTCTGCCTGTACGCTGTCCCTCTTTTGATCAAGTCGAAATCAACCCTGAGGTGGTGATGAAACTCCTACTCGAACTGGATCTGAACTGGCCTCGATGAGCTGCCTCCATATTCATTAAGGCTATAGCCGAATACATCGCTGATCGCCTCTGCCAAATATTTCGCCACTTATTCGAAGTTCGCCGTTTACCCACTGGCTGGAAAGAAGGCACAGTGATACCCAACTAC